CTGTATAAGCCAAGGTATTCATGCAGGAGAATTGAACTCGGTGTAGGGAATTTGGAGAACTAGGGGAATTTTTTTTAATTAAAAAAAATTTTAAATCACTGACAGTAAGCCAAGGGCAACTGTTCTTTGAGAAACCTTCTTCCAATAAATGTGATCCCACTTGCTAAGCAAAATCAGTTTATGCTGATTTTACAGTGGTGTCCTCAAGGATAACAACTGCAGTCAATAGAGCATTGCACCAACTGGCCCTTCCCTCAGCCACCCAGCAGCCATGCAGCCCAGAGGAAAGATTCCCTTTGGATGATCCCCAGTCCAAGGAGAGAGGCTCAAAATGCTTCCTTGTCCCACCCAAATGATAATAACTTGATCCTTCATGTCTGGCATTTCAAAAGCCATCAGAATCCCAATGGCACAGACCATTCCAAATTCCAACCCAGACAAAAATCTCTGGTTTTGAACTTCATTTCATAGAATCACAGCCTGGTTTGGGTTGGAAGGGACCTGAAAGATGATCCATGGGCAGGGACACCTTCCACTGTCCCAGGCTGCTCCAAGCTCTGGCCACTTCCAGGGATCCAGGGGCCTCCCCACCCTCAGAGGGAAGAATTTCCTCCTACCATCCAATCTAAACCTACTTTCCCTCAGTTTAAAGCCATCTGACAGCAGCACAGAGTGCCAGCACAGCAAAGCCTGACCAGCTGACACATCTCCACTGATACAGGGCAGGACAGCTCAGACAGAGCCAACACGTGCTCTGCAATATGTTCACTGCTGCTTTAGAGCAGCACATTACACCAATGCCCCATTCAGAAGATGTCAGGCTGTGTTGGCACATGGTCTCAATGTGTTGTTACATGGTAATTTTCCCCTCAGCCCAAATATCTCTAGCTCACATTCTGGCCAGCCACTGCAAGGTAATCCCAGGCAGAAAAAAAAACAAAAAGGAAAAAAAACCATCCTAAATTCGTTCTCTGTACAACATAAATCTGTCTCATTTTTTTCCCCCCTTGTATTTCAGCTTTTTGCCTGGCTGCAAGGAGACAGAGGTTTAAGAGGAATACATTAAAAAAATGCTTTCTTAACATCAACTGCAAATTCACCTGTCTCCTCTGTGCTGTTACATTTTCCTTCAAAAGTTTGCATCCTTTGACATCTTTGCAGTCCCTCCATGTTCCTGCTGCTGTTTCTAAGCAATAGATAAGAAAACTTCAAAACCTTGCTCTGCAATAATGAGATTCAAAAGAAAAGAATTTTTTCCCAATCTTTCTACATAAAAAAGGCCTGAATCGGAGCCCAGCAGTGCACAAATATTACTCATGTCATTGACACTAAGAAAAGGGGAGCTGTGAATAAAAAATGTTAAAAATGAACACAAGGAGCATTGTTTGCATATCAGAAAAATTAATCTACATAGAGAAGTGTAAGAGCCTGCAATTCAGAAAGCAAAGAATTAGGACAGCCCAGCTGAGAATAATTTTCTAGCCAGTTAATTTAATTGCATAAATCATTCCTTTGTTAGCAATAAAGAGATATAATTAAAATGAGATTGCTTCTCATTTCTATTCTCTGGAAACTAAAGGAATTGATTTTGGGGAAAGCATTCTTCCAAATACCAGATCGGCAAATTACATTTACCTTTTTAGAAAGGCTAAATTATTTTGCGCTAATATCATGGAGGGTTTAATTAATTATAGATCTGCCATATGATCTTAAAGAAATAATTTACTCAATGCCCACAGAACAGAAGTTTGTAAGTGCCTGTATCCCTCTGATAGATGGTGTGCAGATTTTTACAAACAGGTCACAAGTTGAACAGGTGGCTGTCAGGAGAAATGAGGAAATATAAGAAATGTTTAAAGATAAAGGTGGTTTGTGAAGGGATATTAAAGCCCTGCTTCCTGTTTATTGGCACATACCTGGATTACTACTCTTTGAACACCCTTGAATTGGTTTTCTTCTAAATATTGTAATGATGGTTGTTTTCTATTCACAAATCTTCAGGGCTCAATAAGCAGTAACAGGTTAATAACAGAACAACAGTCAGAGAGAGGAAAAAAAAGACAAACATAAAGCCCACCAATTAAACAGAATATTGCTTTTGCTGAATATTGCAGGGGGTGGCCACTGCCAGGCCCTTACAAGGCTGTAACAAACACACCAGACAGAAGAAATTCTCTGTGAGGGTGGGGAGGCCCTGGCACAGGGTGCCCAGAAAAGCTGTGGCTGCTCCTGGATCCCTGGAAGTGTCCACGGCCAGGCTGGATGGGGCTTGGAGCAACCTGGGATAGTGGAAGTTGTCCTTGCCCATGGCAGGGGTGTTGGAACAAGACAAGCTTTTAGGTCTCTTCCAACCCAAACCATTCCCTGATCCTATGACAATACACTCAGCACCCTTTGGGATCCCTTGCCTTCTTTTCCCACCCTCTCTTTGTAACTACTTTCTATGCAGGGAAGCCCAGAAAGTGAGAAAATTCTGCCTCTTCCATCCCATTTCCCTCCTCCAAGGGCAGCCCCTCTTGCAAAGCCTGCACAGAAGGCAGGGAACAGAATCCATTTCCTCTCTGCTGTACCAGGGTGGGGTCTCACATCCACTCTCTCCACTTCTCTCCCCAAAACTGACACTCCTTTCTACATATTTGAGACCGGTAGCCATTCATGAGCATTTGTGGTGCTGCCCACTCTCTCCATCGTCCTTTTTGTCAGGCAAAAGGTGCCACCCTTCCACCTTCCTCCACAAGAAACCTCCCCTGCCACCAAGGATTCCCATTCCCTACAGCTAGGGCTTTTCAACAGGCAGAGAACCAGGTACAAACAAACTTAAATCAGGTACAAATTTAAGTCAGGCTGCTTTGATGAACTCTCCAAACAGTCACAGAAGGACCTTCCACAGATCTCAGGCAGAGGCTGCCCAGGATCAGCACATCTGGTAAGTCTTTCCTGAACACAAAAGCTGCCTCTGCCTCCCGAGCTCTTCCTTTTCTATGTGCTTTGGAACAGAGCAGGAGCAGCCTTGTCTCAGGAATATCATTCCCCGTGGAGACCACCGTGGTGCAGTGACAGCACACCCAGCAGTAGGGACTGTGCTGGGGAGGAGACAGGTAAGTCAAGAAAGAGGGCTTTGCATGCAAGGGTTAAATAGCAGATAGATTAGATCTCATCATCTGAGTTTTCCAGGAAAAGTATTCTGTTGCTATGGAAACCCCAACATAACCTGGGTTTTCCCTCCTTTTGTTTGTTCATTTTCTACAAACACTGGCCTCTCCCAGTTGGACTTGCAGCTTGCAAAACCAGTGATTTTTTTTCCCCTCCTCTAACGCCCATTTCTCTTTGCAAGTACATTTTTCAGTGATTGCCTTTCTCATTATCACTGTCCCAGCCTCCAGACTCTCCCTTTGCAGTAAGGACTGCTTAATGTGCTACCCATTAGGAACTCAGCTCCTGAACACCTTGCTCTCTTTTCTTCCTGGGGAAAAGGGGACAAAAGCCTCGTGGCAATAAAACTTTTCAGTAAAAAACCACATGGGAATGCCTGCAACTGGGACTTTATCTTGTCACAGTTCCCCCATTTGCAGCATCTCAAGAAACAGCATTCCCTTGTTAGCTTCAGAAAAAGGAATTTGCAGGCAAGGGGAATTTGGATGTTCAGCTCCAAGTTTTCTTTGGTTTTGTTCCCAGGTATCTCCAGCCATTTATTTTACTGTAAAGTAATAAGAATTGCCTTTAAGGAGCCTGATGGAAACATCAAGAGAATCTTTCTAAAACGTGCCCTAGATACAAGAGACCTCAGCACACAGGAGCATTTATCTGCCAGATTCCTTTACTCTGCACCTCACAACCTCATGATTTACACACACTTGAGCCTCTCACACTCCCTCCTCATTCCCCTGCACAAATAACAGGGAATAGGCTCCCAAGTGCAGGCTCCATCCTCCAGAGCAGCTCCTGCTTTGGCAGCATCAAGGGTCATGCCTTAGATGGAAACATCTGTCAGCAAGTTTTAACTTGTAGCTTACCTGGTCCTGGCTAGTCCTAGAATATATGAGTGCCAAGCTGAAAAGCTGTTATCCTGAAGCTGAAGATTCAGCAGGTTTTCCTTTGGCTTCCTCAGCAGAGCTGTGGCAGGAATGGAACGTGAATCCAGGGCCACTCTCTGTGCCAACATCCCCACCAAGTGGCCAGCACACCAGCTCGTCCTACTTTGTATTTGAAAATACAAACCTGGCTCACCTACTCTCACCCAAACCTAAAGGAAATCTGACTTTTGAGACAGAGCTCTGAAGATCTTTGCAGCCATGCTCTGGGGTAAAGGCAAAAGAGGAGTGATAAAGAGGTTTCCTTTCATCCCTTATGCTGGGAAAAAGGTGTCACCATCAACCCATTTCCCACCTTAGCCACTATTATTTTTTCTGCTTGCAGAATTTAAAAAATTGTTCACAGATTGTTGTTAGTAACTGCACACGTTTCAAACAAGTGTGGCCAGCCCAAGGAGTAGGATGCAAACTTGCTACAAGCTTGATGTTGTATATGAAATACTGAAGTACTTACAAAAAAAAAAAATTAAACTACACCTTTGAACAGTAGCAAAGGCAGGAAGATTAGCAGGAAAAATAAAAAAAGAGAAAACAAACCAACCAACCAAAAAAAAAAAAAATTTGACTAACACTGCCCTCTTGAGGGAAAGGGAGCTGTATTGCCTCAACTAAGTCATTCTCCTTTCCCTGCACCTCAGGCCACACTAAACTCCCCCCACTGCCTTGCCATATGGTTCAAGGTGAGCAGAAGTTTTTGACAAGCAGCAATAGGAGTCAATTCACACCTAGGAATCAATTATCTCTAGATAAATCATACCTTGGTTATGTTTTATTTATAAGTATTTTACAGAAATAAGCACTGTGAAAGCACAAGAACCTATTGGAAATACAAAAACCTGGAAATCAGGGATTTTCCTTCTTCATGAATTGCAGGCTTTTATTTTACCCAACAGCTGGGGTAGCAAAATCTCCCTGAGAGCAGGAACCAGACTCCAGCTTTTTCTTTATCCTTCAAATTCCTCATGACTGGGATACACAAACATCATCTCTCTAGCCTAAGAGCCTTGATCTGCTGATTGGAATAATCCCCTGCAGTATCCATTGGAAGTTTTTGGGAATCTCTTTCCCCAGAGCTGCTGCAAAATCCAGGCTAGGGAGTGCAGCCTCCAAGCAGTCTTTATAAGGAAGGAGATGGAACTGATGCCTCCACAAGAGCTCTAGAAAAGGAACAAGCACCTGCTCTTCCTAACCGATTTGCTAGCTGGTAAGAGATGAAGAACTAAAATTTTAAAGATGGCTTGGATCATCCTCCTCCTTTCATCCTAAGACTGCTCATAGCACACATTCCTACAAATGTACAAAGCAAAATTTTTCCACTGAAATGTTCTAAGTCAGTTAGTAGAGTGAAAATACCCAAGAGAAAAAGGGTTAAATATCTTTATATCAACTAGTGCAAAAATTAACATTTCCATTTTCCAAATAATGAAAAACACTATGGCACACTGAGCACCATCACAAGTTAAGGTACACAACATCAATCTATAGTTTTTAAGAGCATCCTAACATAGACTGACAAACACAGAAGAGGATTCAATACCCCACAAAGCAGGCACCATGAGTTAAAGCAATGAGATGGAATGTACTGTTAACTAAAATGATATTAAAATGACACTTCTGAGTGTTTACAGTTACAGATATTTATCATGAGAGTAATTTGGCATTTAGATGGATGCTACTGCTCTGTCAGGATTTCATCTTAATTGAATAATGGTGGTGGAGTATCACCTGTTACTGACTTCTCTTGAATATTCAAGCCAGACCAAGGCTCCAGGTGTTCCCAGATCAAAGCTTGCAGAACAGTTGCTACAAATGCAGGGTTCTGCCTAAAATGTTGAGCAGTTTGGTGTTAGCAAGACTTGCAGTATTACCCCCAAGTGCTGACTGAAACAATAGAAACTAAGTGTTTTCTTATCCATATCGGCAAGCTCATGACACCAGGATCAGCCTGAAAAGCTAAATGTGTTATGACATGGTTTTTGAGAAAGCTGGATTTGCTTGGAATTATTATCCCTCCCATGCAAAGCAGAAGCTCTTGAGTTCAGGTATGAGCACAAAACAGTGAAAATGGAACACAAGTTCAGGCAGGCTTAAGAAGTACTTCCAGAAGAATGAATGCTGAACAGGCCTCTCCTTATTTCATCAAGCTTTTCTGCTCTTGAGGCTGCAGAAGTCTTTACTGCTTTAAGGACAGATTCATGACACTTGTCTAATACAGCCTTCAAAATTAGGTTTATTTCCTGGAAAGGGAAGATAAAGAAGGAAAAAGAAGTTTCCATCAGCAAAGTTAAATCTTTATCAAGCACAAATGTCAAGTGAGTGGTCTGGTGGACTCAAATGATTTCAAGGGTATCTCATCCATGGCTTAGGAAGCAGCACTCACAAAACACAGGGGAGGCTGTTTAGAGGATCATTGCACTATCCACACTACAACAGATTCCTTTGGGGGGGGAAAAAAAAAAAAATCCCTCACCTTAGCTTTTGCTGTATTTTTCTCAGCATCTTCCTTGAGCTGCTCAATGTTCTTCTTCTTCTGTTTGATTTCCTTGCAAATGGCCATAACTTTGTCATACACAGCACCTCTCTTCTCCTGGACTTTGCTAAAATGTCTAAAGGTAACAGAAAAAAGTTAGTACTGAGCCTTTTGACTCATTCCAGAGTAAACTGAAGCCCACCATGAGCAAAGCTTGCATTTTATGAGCATAAAACCAGCAGCTTCCAGAAGCAATAATAAGAATGAATTTACTTTCTCAGAAATTAATGTCATTTTTAAACTATAGCAACTTAGGTACAAGAAGTGAAATTCATAGTTAGCAGGAATCCACATGCACCTTCCTACCTCAAGGGAACAGTCAGGACACATTGTTTTATTCACCAGCAAAAACTCTTTTCTCTACCAAGGTTACCTCTCCCTTCCCCTCTTGCTTATCAAAGCAGCTAATTTTATCACTCAAGGGAAATACCTGACACATTAAAAACAGAAATTAGCAGCAACTTTTGACCAAAAGGAGCATTAGATTATACTGTTTTCATTCCTAAATTTAAAGCTATTTTCACAGAATCATTTAAGTTGCAAAAGACCTTTGAGATAAAGCCCAGCCTATGAACACCCCATTGTCACTTCGACCATGGCACTTGGTCTTTCCTTAAACACCTCCAGGGGCAGTGACTCCACACTAGCCTGGGCAGCCTATTCCAAGGTCTAATCACCCTTTCTGTCCGGAAATTCCTCCCAATGTCCAACTTATTTTCCTCCCAAGCAGTCTCCTTTAGCTGGAACAACACACCAAGTGCCATTCTGCACACCACACAAACCTCAAGCGTGACTAAATCTTACTTGACTCTCTCAGCCAAGTGCAAGAAGCTCCCTTCCATCACAGCCAACAATCCTCCATATTCCCTTTCCTATCTGTGTACAAGAAAATTGTTTTAAAAATCAATTTTCTCCCTAACAGTTGAGCACTAAGCTCACAGTGAAGCCAGGACCTTCCAGTGCTGCAGTTTGATGCTGCCTTCAGCATATGGGAGGAAGGAAGAAGGGCTGAGAAGCTTTGATCAAATGACACTTTTCCTTTTGTTTTAGAAGCATCATGTCAGGATAATGCTCCTCAGAGATGTGAGCCCCATTTCCCCATGGGTCTTGAACATCTTTGATAATGAGCAAAAGTGGCAAGGGAAATTATGAAAAATTCATGAAAGGCAAATGGGGCTTTGTTGAAGTCTGATAAGTTGGAAAATTATCCCAATGTGACATTCTCTTTAAGAAGATAAAAGAATCAAGAATAAGCATTATAAATTAAATTAGTGCTCCAATAAAAGAATCGCTGTCAAGTCACATCGCAATTATTGATTTGAGACCCCAACTCCCTGCCTACAGCATTACTGGTCTTCACACAGAGCTGTCCCACACTGCTCATTTTCCCCTCAGTGCCAAGCTGTGTGTTTGTAGCAGACATGAACTTTGGCAGCACATAACAAAGACATAAAGCAGCAGCTCCTCCATACTCCAACACCGCCGACTTGCGCTGCTCGAGATCTTCACAGATCTTTTTAAGCCGTATCTGAGCCGTAGTGAGCTTCTCGTGTTTTGCAGTGACCACTCTCTTTAGGGACATTTCATCTTTCTTGCTCTTTTTCAGCTCTTCCTGAGCACTCTCCAGTTGGTTCTCCAGATTTCTGGCCTAGAGGACAGAAGTATAGAAATAAATTAAATGGGGGGAACATCAAGACAGCACACCCTGCAAATGTGCTAAGAGTACAACAAGCTGGCTGCTTTTTGAGGATCTGATTGCCAACTCCTTCTCCCACTTCACTGGTCTTTATCTGATTATAAATACATCCAAATGGACAAGACCCCACCCCTTAGGATGACTTTCAGAAGTGACTGTGACTCCTGCTATAGCTTTGTTTTTTGAACACATGCTATGAAGATACCCAAAAACACTCCATACCATTTTCCAACTGCTCCTAACAACCGCATTCTCTCAAAACCTAGCAGCAAAATAGCAAGGGACAGTATTGTGACAAGCATTTCATCAGAGAAAGTCTGGCTTAGTAATATTAATAAAGTTAAAGGCCCTTCAAACGTGACTCTTCCTGAAGTAACAATTTTTTCTTCATAGTTTCCATTCTCAAGGCAGAAGCAGCTCGATTTCACTTTTCCCATCATTTCCTACCAACAACCCCAAGACAATTCCAACTATTTTAGGTCAGGTTTCTATGGCAACAAAGGCTTTGACTATTCAAAGTGGTCAATAGCTAGTGCATAGTACATTAGCTAGTGCCACCCAGCAAAGCAGCAGCAATGTTTTACTGACATTTTTAAGAAAGAATTTGGAAACTTCAAAATGTCATTCTTCACAGTGAAAAGGAAAGAGGGGAACATTGTTTAAACATCAAATTCTCCCTTAACAGGATATAATTTGGATAACACAAACCTCTGATGATACACTGGCCAGTCTCTCCACATTTTCTCCCTGTATTTCCATCTTCTTTTGGTATAACTGCAATTCCACTTGGCATAATGGCAGAACCTCAACTGCATCTCTATAACTTTCATATTTCTCAGTAATTTCTTGCTTTAAAGAAAGAAAAAGACTGTCAATAAACAGATTTAGAGTTCTTTTATATAGAATTAAAGCATATTGAACTTTGAACCTTCCCCACGTTGTTTAAAGGCACTAGAAATAATATTTAAGAGTTAGTGAAATGAGCTCTTCACTTTGTAGAAAAATGATTTAAAAAAGGCATTTATTTGGAAGCACAGATATAAAGGTGACATACAAATGTTTTACACTGAATTGATTAGTAATCAGCTTTCTCCAAGAGCTTTCAGGAAAAAAAAAAAAAAGCTGTACAGTGAAGAAATTCTACACTGGTAAAACCAGAGTTATGTAAAGCTTCATATATGAAATTATAGCAATTGAGTTCACATTTTTGGAACAAAAACACCTTCAGAGGCAAAGTGCAAACTTCACTGATGTGTGAGCAACCAAACACCACACAAATGAGTGGATATTATAATAAAATTTTTAAAAAAACCAAGAATCTAGGAGGGAACACAGTATTCAGCATATTAGTGAAGACAGCCATGGATTCCAGAAACAGTGAATGACAACAGAAGCACTATGAAACACATGTTCTAAATCCAAAGATATTTGGGAGCTGACAAAATGTTGTCTCCTCTGGAGAGCAAACAGCCAAACAGGTATAGATTCAAGAGTTCAACACCTGGTTTTACAAGTGACTGCCATCTTGCTTTTCAAAAGGTAAAAAAGCTCATAAAAAATAAACCACCACCTCTACCACAAATCTTCCACTTTCCCCGAGGCTGTGATTTCATTTCAGACTAACCACTGTCCTGCTTTTATGTGTTTTATCATCATTCAAGAAGTAGTTCTAGATGATGACAGTCCATGCTTTTTCTAACAGAATACTTCCTTGTGTGGACAGAGGAAAACCTCACCATAGATCTCTTCAATTTCTTAATAGTCTCTTTCATCAGCTCGTTGCAGTTTTTCGATTCTTCTGGACTCTCCACAATTTTGGATTTCAGCTGCTCTTGTTCTTCTTTTAGAGCAGTCATAGACACTTTCCACTCATTCTAGTCAATGAGACAAACACTTTCAATATTAGTGATGAGGTGAATAAAGAGGAACGATGTAGCAAAGTTTGCCATGATCTTATGACTAGACAGGTTCTTTGGTGTGTAGTCATTCCTCATTAGGAAGTTCTAAAAATAAATTCTTCTAAACAGCATTAACATTCCAAATCAAAGCAATTAACAGCCCATTTTACTTCCCAGATTTGCTTACAGGGGTGCACAAGAACAGCACTTAACTGGTATTTTCCACTAAGAGCCTTCCAGCTAATCCTAGAATGGTTTGGGTTGGAAAGGACCTCGAAGATCATCTCATTCCACCTCCCCACCATGGGCAGGGACACCTCCCACTAGACCAGGCTGCTCCAAGCCCCATTCAGCCTGGCATACTGCCAGCAGCTCTCTCCCTCAGAACTCCTGACCCAGGGATACTGAGGCAGTGACTGCAGCATATAGAACCAGATCTATCACCCTGGGAGAGGAGCAACAAGTTTCCTGTTCCTTCCCTCATTAGCCCACTCTATGCATGCAAGGTAAACCCACAGCACCTCAGAGATCCAGATTTCTAATGACTTAATTCCAAGAATAATCTGATCCTAGAAAAAGAAATGACCTCTCAGTTGATCTGAGATGGAAGCACCCACCAGAGGTGTACTCACCAGTTTTTGGGTTTTCTCAGCAATATCCGTCTTCTTTTGAGAAGTCACTTCTTGCAAAGCTGTCTGAAAAAGAAAGCACCAAGCTTTCAACAAGCTTCTCTACAGCTGCTACCTGCCTTATCCTTCTATCAAAGATCTGTCCACAGGAGAAATCCCATTTATGGGTCCTTTGGAGTGCCACAAGCAGCAGACAAAACTGCAGACTGTAAGATTTCAAAGACAGGAAAGGAGAATATTGTCACCAAAGCCACTGGAAGCACTGGGGATGCAGCCAGCAGTGGGTAACTGGGAATAGGGATAAGAGATTGGCCCTGGCAGTTATTATACCCCCACAACTTTCTTTGCTAGGGGCCCTGTTCTTCAGGGAAAAACATAATTTAAGATCCCAAATAATAGTCAAACACAAGGTTAATAATGCTAATAATAGAGACATGACTTAACAAAACAAAAAAATCCTGACCATAAATTATTATTTTCTTTCTCCCAAAGGAGCTAAAAGTTATCTATGAGATCTGAGAGGCAAGTTTCCATTGCTGAAAAGTTACCTCTACTCTTTTTGCCACGCATTCTCTTGGGTGACCTTTCTTAGGCCTCATTTCTTGCCACAGCTCACCTCCAGTTCCAATTCTTTGAATTCAAATGAAAAACAAAGAGGAACATCCCTGTGTTCCTATGTGGAAGTGTGATGTGCATCTCCCAAGTCACTGCAGAAATGCATTTCAAAGAGTCAACGACACTTTTGTATTCCCCAAGTCTGAGTTAAGGCACATTTCACATTCCTTACAGTGAAACAAAGAGGAGTCCAACAGCATTTTGCTAAAATGGCCATTGGTTAAAATCAGAAAAATCCCTTTTATCCACTGAGTTAGAGGGAAGGGAATGAAATCAAGAAAAGTGAGGAACCCACAGCAGCTTTTCAGAGAAATACAGGACAAGATCCTACTTGTTTCCGACGATAGTCCTGCCTCAGCAGCTGCTCCAGCTCCCGAATGTCCCCTGTGAGCTGCTTGATCTCTGCCTCATGTTCAACTGGGACCGTGCTGAGGGAAAAATAAAGATATTGGCCAGTTTCAGCATCGTTATAGCCCAGCCAGAGTGCAGGAGATAAAACAATCACTGTCTCCACAGAGTTTATAGCCAGTAACTTTAGTAGTCAGAGCAAGACAATCTCAAATTAATACATCTTATTTTCCTTTGCTTGTAAAATTCTGCAGTTCAAGCATTATCTGAAGAGCTATTTTGGCAAGAAGTGGCACAAACAGAGAAGACTAAGTCTAAAGATCGTGTTAGGCAAAGCATGAAAGTGCAACACTCCTACCAATTTTGGTGGTGACTTTCATTTAAGAAATTTGCATATTACCTGTCCTACAAATAGCTTATATTAGTGTAGACATATCCCTGCTAGAGAACCCCCTGTGTAGCACGCACCAAGAATAGCTGTCAGAAAAAAAAAAAGAAACAACACTTTGTTTTGAAAGCTCTCTTGGAAATCAGCCATTTCTTCATCCTATTATCCACAAGCAAAAACAAAACTTAATGGTGCAAAGACACAGGCAGTAGGGCTAAATGGCCTGAAACAGAGATTGTGGCAAACATGTCAAATAACTAAGGAAGACAACTTTACTCATCTATTAAGTTAAAGATGGGCTTCCTCCAGTTGATTATGGGATAAAGACACGTCACTAAAAGCTAACTAAGAGCAAAAAGTTTCAACCTAGTTCCTATTTTTTTTTCCCTCTGCCAGCTCCCTCAGCTGTCCTTCACCAGATTTGTGCTCCAGACCCTTCCCAGCTTCATTGTCCTCTTCTGGACACACTCAGTGTCCCTCTTGCAGTGAGGGGCCCAGAACTGGACACAGCACCCAGGGTGTGGCCTCACCAGGGTCCAACACAGGGGGATGGTCACTGCCCTGGTCCTGCTGGCCACACCTGCTGATGCAGGCCAGGTGCCATTGGCCTCCTTGGCCACATTCCAGCCCCTCTTCCCCAAGCCTGTAGCATTGAACCAAGCTATTGCAACTCTGCTTGAGCCTCACAGAGCTGGCCCACTGATCCAGCCCTGAACAGGAAAGACAAGCAGTGCATCTCAGAGTGCTTACTCCTCACACTCACTTCAGTTTCTCCACCTTCAGTGCTGCCTCCTGATTCACAGTCTTCAGGTGTTGGATTTTCTCCATAGCTGATTTCTGCAAGTTAAATATTTAATTTTAGAGGAGTGTGGTTTCCCTCTGGGCTTCTACTAGAGACTTGCTCATCGTTATTTCACATAAAATGCATCATCTCTGAACTACTGAGATATTCAGAACAGAAGCCACCTACAATTTTTCTCAAAGTGATACAAGGGGTCAATCCTTCACTTACCAGGCTAAAGTATCCAATAAGTTATTGGGAAAAATAACTACAAAAACCTTTCAGTAATAACCAAAGTAATAATCAGTACCTCCCTGAATTACTTGGCTAAATTTAACATCCCAACATGCTACATCAACCTGAAGTTAAACCACAAGTTTCATGTGCCTAGTTCTAGGTTTGTATCAATTACACTTTTATAGATATGTGGAATAAAACAGCAGCCAGTCTTACATAGGTCAGTTGTAGCTCCAGGTAGACGTCACGCTGGAATTCCATGAAGTTCACAAAGTTGAGGATGCCACTCAAGAAGCGAACAGTCCTCTTGGTCTCTGAAACAAGAATTCCAAGAGTTCACTGAGATGGTTTCCAAAAGCCTTGCAATTACTTCGAAAAAGTTAGGCCAAGCATAATGCAGAGGAGACAGAAATTACAAAACACAACCCAAACTAGTTCTTCCCCCACTCAGCTTGCAAAGATTTCAGACTACACAAATACTAAGCTGGTTACCAACACTTGGCAATTCTGTGTAATTTAACAAATGAATAATGGCACCTGGGAGAAAAGGCTGTTAACACAAAGCCTCCCATTCAAACAGAAGCCAGGGAGAAAGAGTGTCAATCTTGAACTACAGCTCTGAAGAGAGAACCTCTCTGTAGCTATCAGCTGAACTCAAGGCAGCAATTTGAACTGCAGGGACTTTTTGGCTTTATTCCGAGCAAACTTTCTGAAAGATGATTACAAAAGCTTTGAAAGTCTTTGACAAGACAGATCCAGAAGTGAAAGAGTTCTTCAGACCAGCCTTTTCCAAGCTGTCTGTGTTGTAGCAGAATCACCATAATTGGGTATTGAAAGGAGTGGAGCACAAGCATCAGCATAAGAAATCCTAAAGCATTCCAGAGCTGCCAGGGGTAATTTTCATCACCATCTATTATTACAGCGCTATAGGTAGTCACAACCCATCTCCAGACCAGCAGTTCAATGGATCCACAGCATTTAAAACTGCCCCCAGTTACTGAATAAGAACTGCTCATTAGAACCAGCTCCTTTAAGAGTCAGAAGAACAGCAGGAGATCAAGGGCACTTCTCCACACTAGATGCCCATCTGGCTATGCCCAAGGAGAAAAAGCACCTGGAATACCAAGCAACACCCAGCACCCCAGGAAAGAGAAACACAAGGATTATAAGGCACTTGCTTACTTGGGTTTAAAACATCAGCGATTTGAAAGTCACTAATCCGGCACATCGGCAGCAAGCGCTCCCTGGGAGGAAAACAAAACAACCTCAGCTGCAGTGACCGTGGCTCAGGATTTGTGACCAGGACTCAGTTCTTGCCCTGCACCCATCTGCTGCAAAACAGATCTTGTCCTCTCATCCCAGAGCATTTGCCTAACAAGCACAAGACAAGCATCTTCTACTTACAAATGAATATACAAATTGCAGACAGGCAGAAAGCCTTCATAGATCTGTGGGTACATTATGTCAACGTTGAGCGGCATCTAAAGAGTAAAAACAGAGTTGGTGCATCAATAGAGAATACTTAAAACAAAAATTATGCAGCATTTTCCACTGCATAAAGATTAAAAACACTGAGGATGATCTTCCCACCCACGGGGAATGCATGTTAAAGGCTGAAAAATGTCATGAGGTTAATCAGCACACTATTTTAAGGGTTAACTTTGGCTGGAAAAGACAAAAATACAATAATAACTAAAGCAGCAACATTGCAAACTCTGGAACTCAATCTAAACGCTATTTTAATTTGCACATATTTTTTGCAGCACAACAGTCTCTGCATTATACAGCTACCAGCAAGAAGGTCCTTCTTTAAACACCCCAAAATTGACACACTCAACTGCTTCATGAAGAAGTCAGGAGAATATAGTGGTACACTGTCCCCTTTCTCTGACATTTTAAACCTCACAGCACAGCATGGCAGCTGATGTCACTGCCTGGGAAGAACAGAGTTACCTTGTGCACATAATACTCTTCCCTTTCAGTTTATCCAGAAATGCCATGAGACAAAACCATTTACTCTCACATTCAAGGATCAGTTCTTGCCTAACAGAGGCAGTAAATAAATTAACTGTTAGCAATTTAGGTATCAGCCTCTCCTCACTTGCCTCTCAGTTGATGGAGGAGTGGAGATGATTAAATATCAAAAGCAACAGTTACATTCCTTCCAGATCAGTCCAACCTCCTCCAGCCATGGCCAAAGGCGGGAGCCCAGTATGGATTTTCAAGGCATGGTGTCCCTTCAAAAGCTTGTCCAGTCCCTCCTGGCACCCTGAACATCCCAAAGAACAGGTAGAGTCCAATATTCTTTTCCTTTCACACCCCAGCACCCCTGCCACAGGCAGCCCTACCATGTAAGCGTGCTCCAGTTGGATCTTACACACTCTCTGCAGGATTCTCAGGTAAATCAGGTGTAAAACGTCAAGCTGCAGGAAGAGAGGACATGAATCAGTATTCCATGTGTTTAATTAGTCAGAGCTCCTAGACCAAGCCATGAAAGCATTCAGCTTTTAAATCATGAACACATGATTTCACCAAGCCACCACGACAAGCAGGTTTAACTTTCCAACGTTTTGCAGTTCAAGCATTACGTGCTGATAATTGAGTTTTAAGGGGCAGCAGTCAGCTCAGGCAATTATAGTCCTGACTGCGTATGCCAGGCATTGGTTTTCTTATACTGCTGCTTGCTGAGCACTTTCCAAACTAAGCAATGCCAAAAACCTAAAAATGTCACAGAAATTATAATCCTGTAGCAACGAGTGCCATTCACTAGATTATTAAAATTAAGAGGAAAAAAAACCACTACAAGCCAAACAGTGTTTCATTTATAGCACTATAATTTCGCTTCTTAAAAACCATCTAAACAAGAAGGGCCAGACCTCTCCCACCGCAGGCTCAAACAAGCGATAACAGCAGGAGGAATCACCCCGAGGCACCAATTCCACTTTAAAGCCACTTGTTTTTTTTTCCGCCGACCACACTCACGAACACCAGTGATGAAAGGGGGTGAAGCAGGGAGAGGTTTAGAAGTAGGGCTTGGTTTAAACATGCTAAATAGATCCGGCAAAATGTCGGAACCAGACACCGCGGCTATTTTTACCCAGTTCCCACAGAATTGGGAAAGACAGGCCGCGTGCCGCTGGTGTCACCACCTCAGCGGCGAGGAGAGCCCCGAGACTCCTCCGAGCCCACCCCAAGCCGGCTCCGCCCAACCCCGCGGTTCCTCGGGCCGCGGCAGCGCGTCCGTCCCGCACGGGAGAGAGCGGAGCCCGGAGCCGCCCCGCGACCCCCTCACGCACCCTGGGGGTGCCGAACACGTCGCCCTTGACCAGGTTCCGAGCCTCGGCGCCCTCCAGGATGTGCGAGCGGAGGTAGCTGATGATGTCGTCGGGGCTGTAGCGGGGAAAGGTCATGGTCTCCATGGCGGCGACGGGGACACGGCGGTGGCGAGGACACAACTGCGACACCGACGCGCGCCCGCTGCTTGAATCGGCCGCGCCCCGCCCCCGCCCCCCCGCTAACCTATCAGAGGCCGTGTCGTCATCCGAGGGCGGGGCTCGGCGCGTTCCCGCCCTCTCCTGGCCTATCGGCGGCCGCGCTGAGGCGTGTGGGCGTGGTTTGCCATGCCCCGCCCCGCCGCGGCCGTTGGTGGTGAGGGGACGGGCGGGGTGAGGCGGCCGCGTCCTTTCGGCTCCGGCAGGCGCGCCCTTCACGGCCTCTGGAAAAGTCATCAAATCCCTGGAAGGAGCATTAAAGTTCACCTAGTTTTCCCCCTGCCGTGGGCAGGGACACCTTCCACTATCCCAGGTTGCTCCAAGCCCTGTCCAAACTGGCCTTGGACGCTTCCAGGGAGCCAGGGGAGCTACAGCTTTGTCTGGGTAGCCCCTGCCTTATCCCCTTCCCAGGGGAGAATTTCTCCCTAACATCCACTCTAAACCTGCCCTCTGTCAGTTTAAAGCCATTCCTCCTTGTTCTTTGATTACCTGCCCGTGTAATGAGTCACTCTTCCTTTTTTCCAAAAGCCCTTTAGGTGAGGTCTCCCCCAAATCTTCTCCAGGCTGAACAGCCCCGACTCAGCCTGTCCCCATGCCAGAGTTGCTCCAGCCCTCTGAGCATCTTCATGGCCTCTCTGGACCCGCTCCGACATCTCCACATCTTCTGCCAAGATCCCCAGACCTGGACACACTACTCCAGATGGGATAAAACCTCTTGGCTACTGAAAGGAGACAATGCCAGCCCAGCATTGCACAGGACTCTTGCCTCGCCAGTACCACCTCTTGCAGTGCGACACCATTTCTGACAAAATTTGACACTGTCCCCACAAAGTCCCAATGCTCCCATGCCACACACAGCTTCCCAGCTGGAAGCAGGTCAACAAGGTCACAACACTGTCCCCGAAAACAGGCAGCTTCTGCAAGCCACTGACATCACGGAGGTGTCACCTGGCACTAAGTGTGAGACAGAGACGCTCTAGCCACTGTTCCACACTTGTCGATGTAAAAGCCAAGGCTCAGTTTCCAGCTGGGCACTCCGCCAAGGGCTCAGGTGAGCCACGGACACAAAGTGCTTCCCAACAGCCCTGTAGCCAGCCACCTCCTCAGCGTGGCTGGGAGGGCAGTGCAGCTTCCATAGGGCTGCTTGCAGTCCATGAAGGGCTAAGCGGCCTGGAAAGTCTCAAACCATGTCTCCTTCAGGTAGACCATGGTCCCTGAGCCTTGTGTTTCTTTTGGGGATGGCATCAGACGGGATCAGCTGCCCGAGCAGGTGTAGCTGTCAGTACCTGGAGGTGAACTGCACCGGGCAGCAGTTGCAGGAGTTCCCTGTGGACATCCCTCTGGACACCAGGCAGCTGATTCTGGCAGCAAACAACGTCTCGTACCTGCCAGCAGTGGAATTGAGCTTCCTGGCTGATTTGGTCTATCTGGACTGCAGAAAGAACCTCTTGGGTGATGACCTGTATTTCACTTTCATTGGCGTGGCCAAGCTTGTCTATCTGGACCTCAGCTTCAACAACCTCACACAGGTCACCTTCAGCACCTTCTCCCACCTCCTCAGCCTGGTGGTGCTGAAGATCTCGGACAATCCCAACCTTGTGGCCATCGAGAAGGATGCTTTTGCCAACAACACCTGGCTAAGGCACCTGGATGTGAGCCGGACAGGTTTAACCTTCCTGGACACCAGCACCGTCCAGGACTTGCCCAACCTGAGGCTTCTGGGGCTCAGTGACAACCTGTGGCACTGCAACTGTTCCTTTTTGGACTTCATCACCTGGATGATGGAGAGCGAGGTGCATTTTCCAGGTGAGGGCTGTGTGAGCACAGATCTGCGTGGAACAGAGAGAGCCCCCTGTTCCCTTTCTCAAAAGTTCAGTTCATGGGGCTGTGCCACTGCATGTCAGCTGTGGGTGCCATTTTCTGCTGTCACACAAACCAGGGATGGGAGCAGCTGGGTTACACACACTCCACACATGAGGAGTCCCACTTGTTCACATCCCCAGGGCAGCCAGGGAAGTGTAGGCTGTAGCTGGGACACTGCTGCTTCCCTAAAACACCTGGATCCAGCCTCAGGTGTCCCTGTGCCTGCACAGCACCCCATGGCTGCAGCACCAAGAATGAGGAACCCAACACAACTCCAGGGAGATGTGCACTGGGAAAATCATTGCTCTGAATTTCCTGCCTTGTCTCCACCCCAGAATCAGCTGTTGCCCATCATATTGAGAGATTCTCTAACTGGGCCTTGGAGAGGCTGAGGCAGGGTAATCACCAGTTCCCTTTCCCATAAAAACACTGTCCCAAGGGTGATGTTTTGCTTTGCAGCTGCAGCACACGGACTTAGTTTTTCCAGACTAGAAAGAGACGCAGCACAGCACACATGGACAAGGAAAGCTTTGGTTTCAGTAATGCAGGGCACAATGGTGAGAGAGAGCTGCAAGAGAGAAATTGTTTGAGAAAGTATGTCCACTGAATAAGAAAGGGCCACAAAAGAGCCCAAGGAAAAAAAAGGGAAGGGCAGTTAGAAGCTGGTGTTAGGACAGAACTGAATTAAAGACATCTCAGAATCTTTATTAGATGTAGTAAGCTCCTTATAGACAATAAAGGGCATTTTTTTCCACATACAGGCAATTATGGAATAAAGTACAGCTCTCAGCAGTGAGATTGGAGATAACCCACTGAACCCTGCAACAGGAGAATAAAGCTCATTGCAGGCTGTTGGGGAGGGGAGGAGTAGGAAAGGCAGCCTTAAACTGAGGGTTATTCCAGGCCAAAGAGGTATTAGGACAGAGCCCTGAAATCTGCTGCAAGCAGACCCCAGCCTGGCCTTTAGAAAGGCTCCTGACCTTCAGAAATGTCTGTGCATCAGAGTTTTGAGCTCAGCCTAGGGACTGACACAAAGCTGCCCAAGTTTGGATGGATTTGGGTAAGAGAGAGATAAAAGCTCTCCAGTTTTACTCAGGACCAGGAGTGAGATCAGCACGAACAACATCACTCAGTCATGTACAACAGAGTGTAATGCAATAAAAATCCCCCAGGCCTTGCTCCCCTCCACCACTCCCATTCCATCCCATGCATTGAGCAGTGCCCAGCCTGTGGTCCCTTTAGCTCAGGCTATTCCATCCTGTCCACCAAGCAATGCCCAGCCCATGCCCACCACAGTGACCATGTCTGTGGGGTTGAAAACCTGCAGAGGAAGGAGAGGGCCATGGCTGAGGGCACACCCCACACCACATTCGTCCTTCACTAACTTGAAAGGGAGCAGGCAGCATCTGTTTTATCACTGCAGATATTGCAATGTGACAGGCTATGGTTGTTATTTCAGTGGAACTGAATCATTGATGAGTTGCCTCTGCTTCCCTCACAGAGCAGGAAAGGCTGTGCCTGACTGCAAACCACCCTCATTGTCAAACGCACAGCAGCCTCATTATTCCAGCATAATTTAGGCTGTATCACTTCGGAAGGTGTTTGAGATTTAAAAATCAACAAACACAGGTGCTCTTATATGAAGATGAAAGTGCTCAATCAGCAGAGATAAGCAAGGCAAGGACAGCACTTTGCCACAGTGGGATAATCCAGAGGGCAATATTATACTATGGAGCCAGCACTGCAAAAAACATTCTAGCAACCTGGGAATTGTGCTTTGGCAAGGGTTTAGCACAGGTTTGGCATGAGTTTGGGTGTCAGATTTTACCCAAGCCATGGGGGGGGGTGTTTTATGAAGTCTGCAGCTATTTTTCAGGCTTTTTGCAAGTGCTCCCATAATTTTTCTACCAGGACTCCTAGTCATTAGATTATGGTACAGGCTAGAGAATCCTGCTCATCTCTCTGCAGATGCTGACAACATCACCTGCTACACCCCAGCAGGCCTGCGTGCCCTGAGGATGCCAGCAGCAGAGGCACAGCTCCACTTCAGCTGCCTGACGCAGCTGTACAAGCAGGATTATGTCTTTCTGTGCCTCGTTGGCTTCTGCATATTCCTTGCTGGCACCATGGCAGCCTGGCTGGCCGGCGTCTGCGCTGTCATCTACGAGGCCCGTGCCTCAAAGGGAGAGGAAGAGGAGGAGGAGGAGGAAGATACAGCCACTTAGGATCAGCCCTTCTGAACTCCCATTGTGGGAACCAAAGGCAGGCCCTTCCTGCCTGATTTCCCACGTGGTCCCACCCTAGATTTTTATTTTTTTTTTTGACGTGAAATAAAACTGCAAGAGAAGGAAGTATCTGTGCTTCAGTTTCACTTGCTGCTCTGTACGCCGTCTTCTGCTGCTGGGACTCAGGATATTGGCAAAATATTTATGCTGGGGAGGTGTGAGAGGTGTGCACAGTGCCAGATACTTCCACTTCCACCCTGCCTGGAGACCACAGAACAGTAAGGATATAAGGACTAGCTTGAAAATGCACTGAAATATGGGAAAGATCCTGGCACTGTGCTGTAGCCAAGGAGGTCACCAGGCCCCTTCTGGCCAAAAAACCCAGCAGGGTTTATTGGGATCAGCCTACACAGCTGGAGCCCCAGGGAATTACTGGATTGCTAGAGCCTCAGGGAATCCAATAACTTCCCGCTGTGGAAAGGCAAAGAGATTAAAACCAGGACTTTTAGGAGCCCAGGATCCCACTGGTTCTTCCTTTCTTTCCCATTACACTGGTGACAGCAAAAGAACCCTCTGTGCTCCTGCAGCGCAGCCAGACCGCCTGTGCCTCCCCTGTTGTATGAACATTTACAGAACTGGACAGTCCAGCTCTGCTTTTGTGTCACATAACCCTAAAACTGGAATGTTTTATAAAGTAAAAATATTTCTTACGCCCTCTCCAAATGTTCTTGGAAATGGGTTGTGTGTCCATACCAAAGTGTCAGAGTTACATCTACAGGGAGATGTAAGATCCTTGCTACCACCAGCGCTGGGAACTGCCAAGGGAAATATCTCCTTACATAAGCCAGCACAGCAACTCCAGGTGTGAAACACCGGCTGCTTCAGCCGACACTGCAGAGGAAAGCAGGAGATTTCAGCAAGCACGCCGTGAATTACCAAACTTAGAGCTATTGAACTGTAGCCTGCGAATCAAAGCTGAGAGCTCTTAGCTAAAATGGGCATGGCAAAATAAAGGGGAAAGGGTGAGGATAAGGATGTCTGTGTGCTGGGAACACGGGCAGAGCTGCTGGGAGACACCGGCACGACAAACCCCTGTGCTCAGCAATCCCCACGCCACTCTTGTTTGGCAGCTGTGAACCCGATGGCGCCTGGCCGAGCCCCGGCCCCGCCTGGGGCGGTGCTGCGGGCGGTGCTGCGGGCGGGCCGGCCCCGCCGCCATCCCCGTCCCCGTTCCCATTGCCATCCCCGGCTCCGTCCCGCAGCACCTGGGCTGCTCCGCGCCGCGCTGACGGTGAGTGCGGGGCAGAGGGGCAGGGGCACGCTCCCGGGGCTTGGTAGCTCAGGTTGTCCCGATAGAAAACGCAGGAAGCGCCGTGTGCATCTCGCAGCAGGGAGAGGCTCCGGGGGAAGGGGGCTGCGGGGCTCTGCCTGGCAGGGCTCGGCCTCGGCGGCGAACGGGGCGACAAAAGGCTCTGCTGGCTCCAAGGGATGAGCTTACATCGGGTAATCCTGTCAGAATCCACGCGTGGGTCTGTTCAAGGAGCCTTAATGCGCTTTGCTGACTCACAGCAGTTGCAGCGTTGTGGCAGAGTTGGAAATGACCCTTTTTGTGCTGCCGCTCTGTGCCGTGTCATGCTCCAGAATCTCGTGTCTGTGGCTCCAGCCGGAACCATCGCAGGGTAAAAGGCAGAAATTGAGTCTTGCACACTTTGCCTGTCAGCAAAGCCCTTGCAGCTGCGGGCAAAGGTTGCTGAAACGCCCTGGGCACCACAATCCGGAAACGACCGTGGGAGTCCTGGTGACTTTGGAGTGCTTTATACGGCTCCAAATTACGAGAGCAAAGGCTTGAGGAACACTTTGATATCAGTAGTGTAAGAATAGCAGTTTCATGACACACCCGGTTTAATGCTTTGCCGTGCTCTTTGTTCCCAAGATAAAGCCCCAGATTATGACTCAGTGCTGGAAGGTAAAATGCCTGGTTCTCCAACAACCTTGTAATTTGAGGGGGGAAATGCGACCACCAACCTGCTCTACATGTTCTATTTTCAGTGTGTCATCTGGCAGGTGCTAACCTCAATTACATGTGCATGCAGCTGGCTTTTCTTCATTACTTCAGGGTTTTGATATTCTTACTGATAATTATTTACTGCAGTTCCTGTGGACAAAGATAGTTGTTATCTTGACCTTGCTCCATCGGTGATAATCTTTTGCAAATGAGAAATAAAACCCTCTAGTCCCCAAAGATCCCTTGTGAGAGGTGCAAGAGGAAGACTTTGCAGCAGTTCCCTGAGGTGGCCTGTTTTCCCCCACACTGACAGATTGTGCTGGTGGGTCAGTGCAGGAGATGCCAAAACCTCACTACATCGTGGAGGCATCATCTGGAGACAGGCACCAACTGGGGTTTGGTTGGGAGAATTATCTCAATGCTGGAGGGAGGTCTCTGCTGTCTTCTGCTGTGCTGTGTCATGCACCACCTTCCAGGGTCACCCAGACAGGCATCTGAGGTTTGGGGTTGTGCAAGATGGTTGTGGGGAGGGGCCCTTGTGTTCTCTGGCAGCTGAGAGGGAGCTGGGGTGCTCGGTGTGGAGCAGGGCAGGCTTATGGGGGCTGGTGAGCAGGAAAGAGTGAGAATGTGGGGCAGCATGGCAAAGGCTGCAGGATGCATCTTCTGCCCCATGCTTCTGTCTCAGGCCTGCCTGAGGGAGCAGAGAACCATTAAACAAAAGCCATACAGGCCCTGGTGTCCCCTGGTGTAGCTGTGTGTTGTTGGAGCTGTTCTCCAGTTTGTGACTCTGAGACAGATCCTGGGAGCTGCAGAGCTGAGCATTGGTCATCTGGCCAGTGGCTCTTTACCCAAAAGTTCAGTTATCATTGCTGTGGTGGTGGGTTTTATTAGGATTTTATATAAGGATAACCTTAGCAGTACAAATGAATCGTTGTAGCCCAGCTCCTTCCAGCTCAGGAGATTGCTGAGTCAGGTTCTATTATAATTCCCAACTTACCTCTTATTCCCAGAACTCACCCAGTTTCCTGTTGAATTTATGAGAACTGCCTGAACTCACAATGTCCCTTGACAATGAGTTCCATAGGTCTGGTTCCCAGTGCACAAAGAAACACCTCTCTTAGGGAACAGGCTGGAAATAAACTGACTTCATTTGGTGGCCCCTAGCTCTGGGGCTGGAAAGGCCCATGAGTTTCTGCCCAGGCTGCACTAAGGTTCTGCAGACACCACTTCCCACCAAGGCTTAGGTGATTTTAAGTCTTGTTTGACTATGCAGAGAACTCCTGGTTTGTGCAGGCTCCAAAAGGTACAGATTCCTTCAGCCAGTCCCTGTGCTGGTAGCTCTTGTGATCCAAGCCCAGCAACTCTTCCACACACACACATCGTGTGTTGCCATTTCCCCAAATATTCACGGGCTCCCTTTCTCTGGCAGCACCACGATGGCTGTTCTCTCCAAGGAATATGGCTACGTCATGCTGACCGGGGCTGCCAGCTTTGTCCTGGTCATGCACCTCGCCATAAACGTGGGCAAGGCCCGCAAGAAGTACCGTGTGGAGGTGAGTGCTCAGGCTGAGGGGATGGCAAGGTTGGAGCCAGTCTGCTGACAAGCTCGGTGACACCTTGATCACTTCGGGGTGACTTGATGACGTTTCCTGCCCCACCACACAGATGTAGAAGGAATGGAGCTGCCTGCCATGGCTCTGCAGAAAGCATAACAGGGCTTGGGATTTGGGACATCAGGTGCTTGGCACTGAGCTGAAAGCGTGTGGCTTTGAGCTTGGCAGCACTGATGGGCAAGAAACTGCTCAGCCCTTTTCTCTTACAAGCAAGACTTGATGCAGCACTGCGGGGGAAGGGGTCATACTGACACAAAAGTGACAGGAGGGTTCTCAAACTCAGCGGGAGCATGTGAGCCCTGTCACAAGTCTTTCAAGTGACCTTCCCTCAGCATCCACAGGGGAGCCTTTAAGCCAGGCAGAGCAGTGGGCTGGGTGGGGACAGTTGTGAGTCAGGGCCATGGCATGCAGTGGCTGCTGTGCCACTTGGCTTCACCAAGTGCTCTCACCACCTCGCTCACGGAAGTGACAAGCAGGGGTGGGCATGAGGACAGCTCCAGCTGCCTGTTGGGGTGATCCCATTCCTGCTGCATCAGGTCAGGATTGGAGCAAATGTAGTCAGTGCATGTGGTGCACAGAGGGCTGGATTTGAGGCCTGGGGAAGCCTCTGCAGCCAGGCAGCAGCTCCAGGAAGACAATGACCTTGAACACAGCTTTTGTGCGCCCCAGGGCAGGCACAGGCTCTAAGCTGCCACTGCAGGTAGGTCTTGCAAGCACCCTGGGCTCCTGGGGAGAGGAGCTGCAGGCCACACTTGCTGATGCTTTGCTGCTGGTTTATTTTTTGGCAGTACCCAACCATGTACAGCACAGACCCTGAACATGGGCAGATATTCAACTGCATCCAGCGTGCACACCAGAACACGTGAGTGACACCTTTGAATGGGGACCTTGGAACACACAGGGCTGAGGGGTGGGAGCCCACAGCCCCAGAGGTGCTGCTGCCACTGCTTTGAGCCAGGCTCAGCCCTGCAATGCTTAGCAGGAAGGCCGTGCTGGCTCCTTCCCATACCTTAAACCATGGGATGGTGCTGTGAAGCCATCTCCTCTTCCCCAGTTCCCACCAATTTGCTTCCACGGGTAGATATTAAGATGTGAGGAATCTTGTTTGCAGAAGGTGTTGTGCTGCCCAGGCCTCCCTAGGGAGAGGCTAAAGTCCACCCAGCTCCTGTCTGCAGGTTGCAGCTCCTGGGGAATGTTTAGGGTGGCTTAGGGAACAAAATGGAAAGAATGGGTGGGTGAGCTGGGAGAGGCACAAGCTGGGAGGAAGCCCCTAAAATTTTGTGTGCTCAGATTCCTTCTTTCCTCAGGCATAGCACTGAGCACAGACTCGTAGTGAGCTCAAAATGCCCTTGGCAGAGGATGTTTGCAGTTCCTGCCCTTCT